TTGTTGAATCCTTCTTCACAACATCTGTCAAAAATACAACAGGGAAAAAAAAAAAGTTTTGCAGCTTCCCTGAAATATGCAAGTCATAGTTTCATGGTCCGCAAACTAAATGCATTGTTGGTTTTATTATCAACCATTTTCAAACCACAGTTCTTAGCTCTGCTACCTTATAGGAAAACAGGTGTTGTAATTTCCAGCTGGAATCCAAACTTTCTGGGCATGAGCCTATGAGCTTCTAAATATCCTCAACTACCTCTAACGTCCACAACTCTCAGCAGCTGACAGGTACAAGGGAGTAACATGAAGAAGTATTCATGGCTGTAATCTCACCTGCATTATGCAACTGTGGCTGAGGTCCACTACAGTCTATAATCATCGACTTGTGCTGTTCCTCAGTCATGGCAATACACAAGGAGGTCATTGTGCCCTCCTGAACGAGTCCTTGGAGGCTGGCGGCTGCCAGAAACCTGACACAAAAAGCTCTTGTGAACTGCTTGCTGCTTTACAATTCCCGAACAGCAAGAACAGGAGGCTGTCACACACAAAAGCCAAGTTACTCACAAGTTCCTTGGTCTCAACATATCTTTACCTGCTAATGTCTTTTTCTGTTCTTTCATCTGCATTTTTTACTTCCACAGGAGTGTAACTCAAAGCCTTAAAACAAACAAACAAAAAAAAAAATGCAACTTTGATATTACTTCTGTTGCTATATTGCAGTTACTAGCAATAAATACATAATGAGGTACTTTAAAAATTGTTCTTTTCAGAGAAAGAGTAGAAGCTAAGGGAATACTCCATATTGTAGTTATTGCTGCTGGTTTTGCATTCAGAAGAAACACAGCAGTTATCCTCTGTTAGCTATTCCATCCAAAGCCTCCTCCAACTCCGACTAGAGCTAGGATGAATTTCTTGTCTGTTTCCAGTGAATTACATGAGGCACATAGGCAGTACAACATCCCTTTTGGTTCAGAGCAATTATAGCAGGGACAGCTTCCTCATGCTGTTTCTAATTTTCTCATTCTAATTTCAACTTGGACACTACTACATAATTTAAAATGAGTTAACTATAAAAACTGATAGAAGAAATTGCTTTGTGCTTCATTAGCAATAACGCAGGGGAAAAGTATTTGCCCTGAATTAAAAAAAAAGAAAAAAAAAAGTTTTTCTTCATTTACTCCTGGCTGGGAAAGCAAATGGAAGAAACATTTTAAATGTGTTGGAGTCACTGAGACTCCTTCTGAACCTTTTTAGTTACCCGGTTTGAAATACACTTACCGCGTGTAACAAAAAGGCAAGTTTCTCCTGGAAGAGCTGTACTACTCTCTGAATAGGGCATATGGCATTCTCAAACCAGCTTCTCAAGTAGGGGTTAACATAGGTCTCCAAGGTTTTTTGCTGTAACAAGTCGAAACGTTAAAACTTTAACTACAAATCAGATTTCTACACAAATAGAAGCCTATTAATAATGTATTCAACCTAAGATATTTGGATGTCAGAGCCTTATTCATTTCAAACCACAGTAAACTAAAATAATGAGTTTGACATTTAAAGTCACGCTTTATCATCAATGAAGGGCTTTGCATTTTAAGAACTGTAATATTATGGTATATACTGAGCAAAGACCATGCAACAGCACATGGGATGAGAAAGACACTTAAAATGTATAGTTTCCATTAGAAAAATTGTGACAAGAAAACCACTAAAAATCCTTCCTTAACATTCAGAAGTTATAAGAATCCAGGGGGACACGTAACTTTCCTGTAGACCATAACCTATTATTACTCTTCTCAGTGGTGCCCAGCGACAGGACAAGGGGCAATGGGCACAAATTGAAACAGAAGAGGTTTCAGTTGAATATGAGGAAAAACTTCTTTACTCTGAGGGTGACAGAGCACTGGCACAGGCTGCCCAGGGGGGCTGTGGAGTCTTCTTCTCTGGAGATATTCAAAGCCCGCCTGGACGATGTCCTGTGCAACATGCTCTAGGTGAACCTGCTTGAGCAGGAGGGTTGGACTGGGTGATCTGAGGTCCCTTCCAACCCTTGCCATTCTGTGGTTCTGTGATTAGTCATTCTCTCTGAATCTAACTGCAAGTAACCATGAAGAGATTTATGACTGGCACAAAGAAGTCCCCCCTTTTTTTTTCCCTTTTGACTTGTGTGGTTGATAGCACTTTAGACACTCACTGTCACTGTAGTGAAGCAAGTATCTCTCTCAGTGTTTCACACTGGTACTTGAAACATCCATTTTGTACAGCCTAAATCTTCCAGATTGTCTTAGTAATTAATTTGTGTAAATAGTAAGTTTCACCACTTAAAAACAGAAAGTCCTTACCTCCAAATCAAGGTTTATCTTCAGACTTTGAATGTATTTGTCCAGCTCAAGTCTGAAAGTATCTTCTTAAGGAAAATAAGATGCATCGGTTAAGACCTGCATTTTTCCCTGTGGCTATGGCTGTTAGTGACATTTTCAGTTACTGGAAGGTGTGCACAACTGAGCTGATTTCAAATAGGAAACAGACAAAATGAGAACGTGATTTTTACATCACCTCCCTCTCTACATAGATAAAGGAAGTTACAGGTAAGGATATAGTTCCAGACCTTTCTCTGAGCCACCTAAGAAACAAACCACGTATTCTGGAGCACTGACATCTGATTCCAGTGTTGTCAGAAGATTTTCTTGTTGGAAACGACAGTAATAACAACCAACTTTATATTCTGCTATGCTGTGCAGAAAAAAAAAAGAATTATTTTTTACAGATACATCACAATAAATAAGTGCAAAAAGCAGACACGTGATTTCTGTAAAGAATTTTTACTCAATAGCACTGGCAGCTCCTAAGGTCATATACAGAGCTTTTAGACCTTCTCTTTTTTCTTCTGTGGTGCAATCAGAGTAGTTTAAAAGGAAATAGTCATAAACACATGTAGTATTTCGTAAGTATTCAAACAGTTAATTATTTACAACAATATTTTTCTCAAAGCTACCTAGAAAAAGAGGAAAGTGCCACTGCATAAAGCTGCTATTAACAGCAGCAAAAGACTGAGAACGCTGACTCAGGATTAAGCCTAAGTGCAGCAGCAGATGGCAAGATGTGCAATGCTGCCAATATTTCTTAGAGTTTCTCATTCACAAATAAATTTTAAAATTTACCTCAGCCCCACTGATGCTACATTCCCCATTCCTTCAAACAAGGCTCCTTTAGTAAGACGCTTAGCGATAAAACTGCGCAATTCAGTCTCTGCTTCAGCTGGTAAGTTAGTGTCCAGCAAGGAGAGGCTTTAAAAAACAAGAAGAAATCATTACCAAAAAAGCAAGCGTTGTTTTGCTTCTCTGAACAAGTGTGGAACCACTTGCTTCTAGTAGGGGGAACACTGTGATCCCTCTCTGGCTTACACCTTAACTCGCTCTGCCACTTCTGGCCCATCAGAAGTGCATTCAGTGGTTTGTCCACTAGACCAGAAGTCTGGAGTTGTGGTGTCAGCTGATGCTGAACTCCTCAGAAGCTACAAACAAGTCACTGCCTCCCTTTTTTCCTGTTTCCCTAGTTGTAACACAGAGCAACAGCTCCATTACAGAGCTTATGGAAAGACAAGATGTCCATTTAACATTGTTTAATAGATTTTAATCATCTACATGAAGACCTAAGTCAATACAGAAATGTCAAATATTAGTAGCAAAGAAAACAGAGTTCAAACTCAAAGATGATGGTTTATGTTTAATACATGACTTGAGCTCTGTAGTTGTGTCCGTTCCCTAGGTATTGCAGAAAAAGCACCCAGGGAACTTCAGTATGCTTTTACAGAGGTTTCTGCTTTGGAAGGACGTCAGTGTACTTGCTTACTATTCACCTAACAGCAATACGGCAAAGACTTCAAAATGGGGTGTTACAGGCAGTTATGCATTTCTGCAGATTGGCTTTACCTGAAGTCATCGCTGGAGGGTGTCTCTGCCGCCGCACTGCTGGGACTGCCATCCCCACTGCCTGCTCCCTGCTGGGAGGATCTGAAAATCAAGCCGTTCTTACGATTGATTTTACAGCTTTAACACACAGAACAGGGAAAAAGGGACTGCAGCGGGGAAAGGTATGGCCTGAGGGTGTTCTAAAGCAGGAGCAGGGAATCAGGACATTATGGGAGGAATAAAGTCTCTTGGGGGAGAGAGGGGGGAAAAAAATAAAGCGAATACAAGCAGCTGGGAACTGACAAGGCCTGGAAACGGCCGCCCCGCGGGGCGGACCCAGCGCCCACCCGTCCGGCAGGCCGCGGCGGCG